CTCCCGGTATAATATTATTCGTGTAGAAGGTGGAGCCACACAAACGGCCGGGATGACAATACAATAAAGGCTTATGGGTAATTTAAATATATATGCATACAAAAATAGCATAATATAATAAGTATTTATCGGGGGCGCAGACGGCGCACGGGTGCCATGTTTTATATTGTAAACCCCTTTTTCCCATTTTTTTTTTTTTTTTTGCGGTCTACGATCGGCTCTCATTCAAATTGCGTACATATATTTGTATTACAATATAATATAGGTGGGTCGTTTCATTTGTTTATTTAGCAACGTGCACTGTACACCACAGCATACTGCGGCACAGCTGCCGTCGAGTTTCTTAAAAAAACATCAATCACACCGAACAACGGCCACGCATAATAATATAGGTACACAAATTCCACTAGGTGGTGGCTCGTCAACCTAACCGAATCGTTTAGACGTTAATACGTCAACGAAATGTCACCTCTCTCACGGTGGAAATGTCAAACGACAATAATTGCGAGCCAACGAACAATATTTGAATCGTTTACCCACGGAAAGGTTAGGTTTATTCGAAGGGAAATTCGAGGGGGAAAATTGTGCTAAAATGTCAAGACACAAAACTGAGCATGCACACAACCTACTGAGTGCTGCACTATACGAATATATTCTAGACCATGAAGTCTACAGGACGATCAACACAGTTACCTCTACGGTACCCTATATCCTTGAAGAATTTGTCATTCCTGCACGGGAATCTCTGAGGACAATCACTAGAGATGCATTTGTTGTCCTAAATTGTCCATTTAGGGTGTGTTCAGATCGACAAAGTCGATCCGTTAAAACCATCGATATGCTTCGATAACAAATCGAAAAAAATCACTTAATAGCCAATTCCTCACATCCCTGGCCTGACACAGTGATAGGTCGCTTCAGAAACATCCACGTTGGAGGAATACCATTCACGCAACAATAACCTATCTTGTTTTAGATGTATCAATTAGGCTTATGGGTCAATTGGATGGTAAATTTCTTTTTTAGGTTTAGAACTTTTGAAGCGATAAAGAGGAAGACGGTTAAGTCTGTTTTCACAAATTTTAGCTACCGAAAGTGATTGGTACTTGTGCCGAAATGACCTATTTAAGTGAATTTCCCCCCGGCCGTAACAGCTTTGGACGGGTATATTATCATCGCCGGGTTGTGCAAACGAATGGAATCGTTGCAGTTTCGGTCGAAGACATGCGATCGCGTGCGTTTTCCCACAACAATAGCAATCTAAATGGCTACAATAAGGTGCACATAGGTGGTAATAGCTGGTCCGTCCAAGTACGAAGAACGGTGCACAATAATTGCAGTTAAACGCCACCAACGACTGTTGTTGCACGAACAAACGCTAATATCGGAGCAGTCGCAATTAATTACATTATCTGGGCCACCACTATTGTATTGTAAATGTTTTGTATGTGCAAGGAATAATCGTTCGTCTGTGTTTCGGGCGCATAAGTCCATAACGAATCCTTTTAAAGAATACAATAATTGCTGCAAAAACTCAAAACCCAACCAGCTGTGACCGGCTGCATCGAATGACCATTGGATACCATTGTTATACGTGTTGAGTAGCTTTCTCGAGTCCGCAAACGGGTAAGTTCTATCGCGTTTTGCCTAAACACTGAGACCTGGCTTTCTCGGAATTCCAATAGAACGAAATTCCATCGCTCTTAACTATAATTAAGTGTAACCCTTTTGTATTTGCAGAGATCTAAAAGCGTTATGCTTTCAAATTTTAAAAAATTCAGACTTTTCACGAAGTCGCACTAGTCCTTTAAGTAAACAAATTAATTTCTCACCACGTTAAGGTGTAACCAATTAGCGGTGTTGTTGTGGGAAGTCTAGAACTTCGGTGCTGATAAATGTAAAGCATTATATTAATATAATACAGGCTCTTCGAAGACTCTCGAGCAGCCTCACCTGTAATTCGCAGAACGTTCAACGATAACACACATAAACTGCGCGCATTATTAGCATATTATAACATTGCCAATTATTGGAAAGCTTAAAAAGCCATTAACGCCGTACCTGGTGTATAAATTGTATGGCGACGAAACTGTACGACAAAGTTTGGGGATTTACATACATATTATGTGCTTGACCCGATATTGCGTTTTGTGTTCCTATTGTGAAACGACCAATGCGATTATACAGTATGTCCCGAAAGGTCTGGTACAACCGCGAGTAATCGAAATGTGATTGAACTGGCAGAACTAGCAAATTGGTATGCTAAATTTCGGATGCTAAACCTTAACGGCGTCACTCACTTTCATCTCTCACAGAGTTCCTGACCTGAAGTCATCAGAGAAAGTTCAAATTTCAATGATCCGACCATTCCAAGTCAATGCTTTGTGCTTTCCCCCAATGTAAATACATTGACTTTGTGGGGAAATTTTCTATTTCGGTGTTATGCATTTGTACTTAATGAAAACCAATAAAGTAATTCCTCTAGAAATTGCTAGGACGTCGATGGCTATCACTATTCAGACAACTCTCGACCTATTCTTGTTTTGCGACATCTCTAAGATCTTCTCGAGTATGTCTATCTCGCCTGGATCGCCGAACGATTGATGGTAGAGAAACGGTTTTTGGGATAATTCTAATAATCATGGATCCAACTTAACCCAACCACTATGGTCCGAACGATCAATACATTAGGTTCCCCGACATTTTCCAACGGGTAGGTTAGGTTAGGCTGGAAAGAACCATATCTAAAGTGATGTACATAGTTTTTCATAAACGAACGTTATCCGCTAATGAATAAAGTTTACATTTGACACACTGTATACGGGAAAAATCATTTTCTACATAAATATTTCGGCCTCGGGCCGGATTAACCGGCATACACATCAGCCGGGACAACTATTAATTGAAAAGCGTGAAGGGTTAACCGTGATACTTAACCGTGTATAATGGACATCAATGGAAACGCGGGGTAGGTAGGTGTATGATGTTATATCCGTTAGTTTAGGTCCGTTGATATATCATAATTACAGAGAGAGAGAGTGAGTGTGTGTGTTGAAAATCAAACATCATAATTATTATTGTTTTGAGAGCGGTGTGTGTGTGTGATGTCGAATTAAATTGTCATTAGCGCGTTCGACTTGTGCGGTACGGGATGAAACGTTTATAGTGAACATCATATGACACGCTAATAATATACAGCAGTATAACATAATGTAAATTATACGAAACGACTGATTTTACAATGTGAAACTCAACGCAGCTATATTATAATGTAATCTCCACGATACCGGCCCGGGTGGGTGGTAAAACAGTAAAACAGTAAAAAAAAAACGAATTTAGGTACATTCTGCTTAGGAGCCAACGTTTGGAGGCCGGTCGGAGGTGATAATAAATTTCAAAGTGATAAATCATTCGAATGTTCAGCGTTAAAGACTTGGAAAATTGTTTTAAAACGAACAAAATGTTCGAGTCAATTTTGGAAGAAAAAATAAATGAATAACAATGTCAATCGTTGGTTGGAAAAGGACGACTATCCCTTTGGTTTTCTAGGCCTGACCATTTTGACACGGTGGGGTAGTTGTGATATTGTTATCTAAAACCATTTTTTTTACAACCCTCACGATCCTTAAAAAACACAAAAATCCACATATCCGTCAGAACATGGCAATTAGTTATGTGTAATAATATAGAAATGAAATAATCAGAACATTTGAGATGTTTTTTATCATAAAGTTTATTTACTGATTTTCAGAAACAGTTGCAAGTGATAACGAATTGAAATCGACGAACATGTCTTTGAAAAATAAGAACAATAATTTTTAACACTTACATTAAAATTTTTATTAACTTTAAAAATAATAATATAAAACTGGTAATCGAACGATAAAAAATGTCAGTAAAATATTGTCAAGTATTTTTTAATTTAGGTTTCAAAAGCGGGCAGAGTTTTGGAATTCTATGAAAATGGTAAAAATGTAAAAATTGTTATTAGAGTGCTTGGCTTAACTGTTGTTTTTTTTACAGTAAATAAATCGACGTTAACATTTTAACTGTAGGCCCGCCGTTGGCCGATTATGATATATTATCGGTAACATATTTTATTGAGAATAAAATAAGGAAATACAACGAACATATTTAGCTTTATCGAAAACAAAATGTACAAGCAGAGGCAAAATAAACGAAATGCAACTACGAAAAGCGCTATTTCAGACAGAAAAATTGGATATGAAAAAAAAAACACTTTTTCGGCAATCGAAACAGACTTATTAAGAACAGAATTACTTACTATGTGAACAAGACATAGCAGAATGAGATATTAAATTAGTTTAGAAATACTCTAACGACAATTTGTGTGCGAACAATGATTGAATTGAATTGAAGTTTTTAATTCGGAAAATTAATTGATTTTTCGAATAAATCGAATAACGCGAATAATTCGTTGATTTGGTCGGACGATTAATGAATAATTTACGAATAATCATTATTGATTAATTTGTGAATAAATAATGAATCGCGAATATAGTCATAATAATATTATTTGATGGTCATTATTATTTATTATTTATCTATTTAACCATTAAAATGGATGAGCTTATGTTGATTGAATCGAAGTTGTAATTTTAATTTAATATTTGTATTGAAATTCGTCATGATTTAGGTGCAGAAAATATTCTCAGGGCGTCTTAGAGGTTTGGGGGTTTTATTTTTTTTTTTACAAACCTAAACTGTTCCAACAGATTACAAAATGCGGGAAAACCCCAAAACATACACACTCGGATAGGATTTCAAGTTATGTAAAACGACGGGAAAACCCCTTAAAAAAAATGGTTTATTTTCATCATTAATTTTATTCGATTTATTCAATTAGATTATTCAATCGAATTCGTCGACAAGTCATTCGGAATTTCAATAATTGCACTGTGACTTGGTTAAAACGGGTATCGCCTTGCACTGTGACTTGGTTAAACTTAATAAGTCGGTTAACGAAACCGTGCGCTTACCTTCCGGTTTTCGTGATGATCATTTCGGTGCCCAGATCGTTGAACTTGTCCCACAGTTCTTTGGTCTCCAACCGGCAACCCACGTGTCTGAGGTCTTCGGAGTTGAACCGTTCCTCCAGCTGCGGGTCGGCGGCCGCCGACGGCGGACGCGGTTGCGGCTGTGGCGGCTGCGACTGTGGCGGCGGACTGGACGTCGACGAGGATATGACCACCTCGTCGGCCACCGCGGCGTGCGACCTCGTGGCCGAGCCGTCGCTCAAGCGCCGCTTCCTCGACATGGGCTCGTCGACCGGCCGCTGTTCTTCTGCGTTTCAAAGGCAAAACAAAATCAAACGTTCACGTTACAGGGTTTTTTTTTTGGACAATTAATTTACTATATTATATTTTTACATAATATTAATGTGCGTGCCCGATCCGCGTTGGCCACGACAAACGATTTTTATTTTCAACACGGATCAACCTGGGTTGAATTGACCAGGGCAAGTACAATAATGATTATTATAGGCGCGACGATAAACGTCGTTTCTACGCTCGAGCCTCACCTTGGCTGTCCGGCGACGGTTCGTCTTGATGGTGATGGTGATGATGACGGTGATTGTGGTGGCCGGCCGTTTTGGCGGCCATCGCCGCCGCGGCTGCGGCCGCGGCCACACCTTGGTCACGCCGCGCCAGTATGGCGGCCACCGAGAAGTCCGTGGCGCACGGCCGCAGTGTGAAATTTTGCTCCATGGTGGCCACAGCCGCGCCCGGCACCATAAATGCGATAGCGAGCACGTTTGACCGCGTAGACACGTTAGGTAAGTAAGTGAATAAGTGTGTGTGTGTATGTGTATGTGTGCCGTACTATAGGCAATATTAAAAAAAAAACGATATTGGAAATTTTTGTTTGAAAACGACCGTTTTTTCGGTTTTTATTTTTGGGGGGACCGAAAAAATGTAATGTGTGATGGTAAAACGCCGCGGACAGGAGCTGCACAACGAGCGGTGCGCAAATGCGTCGTACTGCCGGCAGACACCGGGTGACAATAACCGGCGGCCGCCGTCGCGGTCGGTCATGCCGACGCGTGTTAGCCGCCGCCGCCACCGTCCACCTCCATCTCCTCCTCCTCTTCCTCCCGCCGCCGCCGCCGCCGCCGCTCTACTCGGCGGTGCCGCACCCGCCCGCCGGCCCGCGCTCGGGCACGTCCGCACGTTTATGGGTTTTTCCGTTACGCCCCGTGACCACTCCCTCCTCCGGCGGCAACGATGAAAAATGGGCGGCGCCTGCACCCCCGACCCTCCGCCGCCGCCGCAGCGTCCAATAACTGCATCGATCAAACGATTGTAGTATATATATATACATATATATCTCCAAACCGCGCGCAATGAAAGCAATTACCCCGACAATAACGACAATATATATATATATATACAAAGTGTATAAAACCGCACACGTACGCGGCGTCGAGAGAAAAACGCAATCACGTGTAACGCGGCCGAGCCGCAAAACAATAAAACGCGGTGGTCCCCGCGAATCGAAAAACTTTGAGCGTCCCTCCCGCGAGTGTTTAAGCCGTTAACCGTTTACAGGGTGATCGATTTATCTCGTTTTCGCTTAAAATAATAATTGAATTAATACTTTCTCGAGTCTGCCCAACTGGTACTGGACACGAGTAGAAGGTGGTTAATTTTTCGTTAGTAAATCAGAAGACAAAATATCAGAACTTAAATTTTAAATCAACAATATTAACCAACTCACATTAACCCGTTGAAAAATGTCTTTGATTTGACAATTTGTTTGCTACAGTTTTCCATATTCACTAGAAAAATGTGCAAATAATTAGGAGGTACACTTGACGGGTTTTCTGGAGACCAAATATGTTCAGAGCTAACAAAATTCAAAAGTGTTGTACAACTATAAATAATTGACACCGATTAATATTTCAAACAATAAAATACCTTTTGTTTTTGTGTAAATCGTGGAAAATCACGTAGTAAATATAGCGGTGCTAATATTGTTTAAAAGTTAATAAATATCTAATAGGCAGATGTTTTTTCTTAATATATACCTAAGCCACAAATTTAAGAAAAATGATTTTAGTTGACTGTGTGTTGAACCGATTCGTACCCATGTGGCATGTTTATGGATCAGAAATCTTACCTAAAAGGTGCTTTATTTTTCTTTATTTCTCTTTTTCGAGCAAAGTCTTAGAAATTAAATTTTGAACAGTTTTTCGCCGTTACGATGATGATTTTTATCGATATTTTATACTTATGGTATCTGTTTACTATAATAATTGTACAGTGTTATAAAATTAGCAAAACCTTATTTTAGTGATTTCCTGAGCGCTATTAACTTTTGAAACTTAAAAGGCAACGTATAAAATATTAAATTAAGTATTAACCGTATGAAAAAAAATTATTTAATTTAAGTTTTTAGAATAATTGCCTATACAGTGCCCCTTAAAAAAAGATAGCATATTGGTTTCTCAAAATAATTATATTATTTATCCAAAAAAAATGATATTTTTGTTTATCTTGGATAATTTGGATTACGATAGCTATTTAAAAAAAACATTTTGGCACTGCCCCTCTTGGTCTAATTGAGTTTTTTAATTGATTTTTTTATTTTCGAAATTGCTATTTTTTTAAAGGTAATGAAAACGTATAGGGTCGGTGAGACTTAATTTCGGCTTTTGTGTTTAAACTATTGACAATAGACAGTTTAGTGGGGGCACATAATATTATAGCAAGGGTGATCAATTTAATGCAAGCCACTAATTTTGTCAAAAGAACTTGTTGAGTCCTAAATACATTTCAACATAAACAAGATTGAAAAAAAAACTGGGCGTTAGAGTATACTATTATCATTGAGTATATATTGTAATATATACCCAATGCTATTATTTAATCTGCATAACACTATACTCTTTAAACCGTAAATGAAATTAGTCACTTATTAAATACACTGTCTTAAATTAATTAAATTATATACATTTTTCTAAACAGCTTTGCAACACAGTGGCGCTCAAAAAAGACAACAAAAGTACCTTATTAGCGTTCTTAAAAGAGTAACAATCGAACAATTTGTTTTGGTTATAATTGGTTTCGTTGAAGTACTATTTTTATTTATACAATTTATTGAAACATAATACTTCATAATTTGACAGAAACATTTTAACATGAAAATCTTTTAAGGCTAGGGGTCATTCCATTTGGTTTTCATATATTTCACTGTCAGAAATCTAATTTTGTTGATAGGCCGTCAGTTCAACGGATTTACAGTGTTCTATAGTCTTGTCCAAATTGAGATCTGGACCTCTTAATAACCTCTATTGAAATCTTAATTATCCAGTACTATTCTGGCTGTTGTCATATTTTCTTTAAGATCTCCAAATTGATACCGTTTGGCTCCCTTGAAACTATATTTACCATTTATTATGGTAGAACACACACCACTGTCATGATCAATTTTTTATATAAACCGAACAAATAGTTCTTTAGACAAGAAATAGTGACAAAAGTATAACAAATAATGGTGAGAACCAATAGCATCCTTAGCAATAAACTAAATTTGCGCTCTAAATTACTAATCTACTTGACAACTCCGCTCTAAAAAAAAAAAAAAAATAAACCACGATTAAACTGATATTCTTCATCATCAAGCTTAACGGGCCTTTAAGACCCAATGCGGTCATCATTAGATGATTTAGTATATTAATATACTAAATCTAAGGTTAGGTTAAATAATTAGCCAGCCTTGTTCAAATGTTATGTATAAAATGCATTTGAAATAAACACTTCTAATACTATGCCAAAAAAGTGATTAAGTTTTATTTATAATTTTCGAACGACACTGATACCTTGTTAACGCGACAACTATATAAATATTTTTAATAGTTCTAATTTAAAATAATATTCTAATTATTTCAATCGGATATTTTTAGGAATCTTCTGAAGCCAATAAAATAAATGATTTTTTTAACAGTACTAAGAAAACATCAATGCTAATGCTATAGCTCATAAAAATAAATCATAATAAAAATCATAGCTATAAAAATAATATCAACCCGAAAATAGGCGCAGGTACTTATTTCGCTCTAGTGCTTTATTATCATTGTATGTTTATTACATAGATCGAATTATGCGTCTGAGATGTTTCTATATTGTGTAGTTTCCCAACTTGTTGTCGATGATTATGTTCTGGTAACATTTGGCCATTTGTTTCAGCTCGATGTACTTCATACGGTTGCACGCGCATTCCAAGTTCATCCACTTGTAGTCACAATGGCAGTCCGAGATCACGATTTGCTTGTTGTTATTGTGCACGTGACCCAAAAAGAAGTCGATCTCGTTCGAATCTTCGAGGTGGGTGTACTGTTGGTGTACAAAAATCCCGTAAAACTTAACGCTAAAATGTATATTATCCTAATTACGTGAAACTAAGAGAAACTCCCGGCTAGGTTAAGTCTTACACAACTACACAAAAAAGTCAATCTAAAGACATTCTCAAACATCTCAATTTCGCTTTTCTCCGGTCATAATCTACTGCCAGCCTTTTCGTTTCTCATGTCTCCTTCATAATTTCTCTCCATACTGCACTTTACACAAAGAACCTGCTATATGTGTGACTTTTCCCATCTTCTTCGTCACTGTCCAGCTCTATCTTCCAACCGAAAAACTGTTTTTAACTTTCTCTCCATTATGGGTACTAACAACCATCGCTGTACTTATTTTAAGCGCTGGCTTTCCCATTTACTCAATGATATTAATTATAAGCGACTCAATTGTTAACACCTTACAATAGATTACTGTAATCGTCTAGTGAGTTTTCCGTCGGATACACTTACTTTGAGTGGGTACTTGTACTTTGAGAAAACGTCAATGTCGCACTTAGTGAGTCCTGTCAAACACTCCGTAATCCTCAGAGCACCTTGGACGGGTTCCTCGCACTCGCCCAAGCAACCTGAAGACCATATTTTATTAGCATACAATAAACGACAAATCGTCGGCTAGAGATAATCAAAGCTAATCACCTTTTGGCGGAACCCAATATTTACTTCCGGACGCTTCGTTGGTGTGCAACAATAGGAATTCTACGGCATTGGCGGAAAGCCGACGGAACAGAAACAGGCCCGCTTGGCTGGCTGCTTTAACCGCGTTGCTCATGGTCTTAGAAGAATAATAATGCGACTCTTGCGATTAGTTAAAACGAACTTTTCATGCGGATGTGTTTATATTATGATATATGTGATTTTTTTTGTTGATTTTATTATGTTTGTGCGAGGTAACCCGTAACGGCGTTCACGACAAAATATAAGCCACCACAATTAAATCGAGTTGATTTGTTTTTTTTTAAACGTGTTTATTTTTTAATATTATGCAACTACTACAAATGATATGCGATCCTAATAACATATACGACGAACGAAGTGAACTACAACTTAAGAGCTAAGGTACATTTAATAGCATTCGTTTTGAAACGACAAGCTATAGTCGTGCACAAACTAATAGTATGTAGCTGGTGACTCCACAAAAGACGACAGAGTTGTTTTGGAAGACTGAAAGTGCCAAACCTCAGTTCATAACTTTCAAACAAATGTTGCTGTTACAATAGTGAATAACATTTATTCAATACAAACGACGTTTATAAAACGAATATATTAGTAGGCAGATAAAAGTGGTATCTTATGTAATATAACCATCATTATCCGATTATCCGATATTATTACAATCCAACTTGACATTACAAAGTTTAACGAAAAACATAAGAGTCTATTATAGATTGCAAGGTATTTGTATACCACACTACCTCATTGAACCAAGTACATACGGTTATGCGAGTTTAACCAGTATACAACCAGAAAACAGCTTTTGTGCCAATATTTCACTGTTTGGAGCTCAAATTCTAAATAATATTCAATCATAAAACGTAATATATAAATACACATATATTTATTCATTTAACTATAAACTTAGTAAGCGTTCAAGGAGCAAATATGCTAGTAATTGTAGTGTAGTTTAGTTCAAAAATTCGTAAAATCTAGCAAAACTTTACAAGGACAAAACAAGAATAAACATATTATTAAATTTATGGTAAATTATTACATTGCGAAAACTCTAAAATCTATTACCAATCATAAAACAAAATAAAATGTATACATTTATTAATAAAGTATATGAAAATAATATAACGGTAAAATATAAAATAGATATAAATATTATAAATCTGCCTATGTTGATAAGCGCAGAAGGAAAAAAATATGCTTGCACTTGGTTAAATGACTGAGGCTTGTACCTATGCTTCTGTCATTGTAATATCTGTTTCGATGGTCTACTGAAACAAAAATAATCTCGTTAAATTCCTGATAATATGGTAGTACAATAATTACTATAAAAAAAACTAATGCAATTTGCATCGAATATGATGTACCAACCGTAGGATAACTTGCTAAATCTACTTGAGCGGGAGCCTCCAAATGTGCAACATGAAAATCCTACAACATTAAAAAATTAATTAAAAAAATAAAAATAAAAACAACACACATAACAATATTATTGAACTGACAATAGTGCTTGCTGAATTGTAAACGCCAGTAATGCGAATGTACACTACCGGTCTGAAATCAAATTGCAACAACTGCCACGATTTTGTCAACTCATTGGATTTGTCTACGATTTTATCCCAATCATCATGGTTAACTGAAACTTCAACGATGTAACTGAGATCTCCGTCATTTTTATCCCAAAGAAGCATTCTGTAAATTATGACAAATCTGAATAAGTATTTATAGATCATGTATCCGTACTATCACTAAAGAACGGAGAAAATGCCACAACAGTGGCAAATTTAATAAATGTTGCTGATGCTAGTGATCACTCTGGCGGCTCAATGCATCTGCTTAAATGCTTACAAAAGTAGGTTGATATGAATGTTTTAATGAGCAATCTAACGAGCCATACAATGTTTGACGAAAATAATATAGATGTAAAACACAAATGTCCAGTAGTAATTGTAAGCTATTTAACAGTTACCTCATTGAACTAAGCATATAGGGCTGTGCTAGTTGAACCTCTATACAACCCAACTGCAGTCGATGACATGTATAATTGTTATCGAAGTGTTTATACTGGCCATCCAAGATGGAATTATTACTAAAGCGATATTCTTTGATTACAGTAGCGTCCATAGATATTAAAGCAACATTGTACTTTGGAGCTAAATGATAAAATCGGTCGATTAGATAATAATAGTATATAAATATTTGTATTAAATACAGTTGCAAGAGATTTTCTTGGATTTCTTACCCACTAACCCGTTTTTGATGTCTACTAAGTGCATTTCTCTGGTATTGTGCTTGATTTCCAAGATTTTAAAACTCTTCTCATCCGTGTTATAGACGCCAACAATTTTAACGTACCGAACTGCTTGTGGAGAAATCCACAAACGTTGAATTGCTCGACAAGGATATTTTGAATGATCTATAACACGCACCCACTGCTTCTGATTCGTCGAAACTTCAATGTAATAGGTGTATATCCTAAAGTATGACATAATTCGAACAAATAAAGCTTTGCGTAAAATAAAAAAAAAGACATAAATTAATTGTGATTGTTCGTTGGGTGATCAATAATTCTCTATTGATGAATAAAAATAATTTTTTTTTCATTTTAAAGTTCATAATAAAATTAAAATTTTGATAAACAAAAATAATTATTCATAAATTTAAAAAATACGAATAATATATTTAATTTTAACAATACTATTAATAGTTTATTTAATAGTGCTGAACTTGCATTAGATAAATAATTTATGTTTTATAAACATACCCTACATCTTCATACATGTGATAATACCCTTTATATTGTAAATTGAGTTTAATGTAGTTTATAGTTGCTGTATGACCCAAATCTATATTAGTAACGGTGGCTGTTCTGTTTATATCCGTGTTGACCTTGGCAGATTGAACAAAGTTCACATCTGTTTCTAAAACGTGAGATATCTTAAATTAATTTAACTGTCCAAAAATAATATTACCGACAGAAAGCTTGCTTGCTAGTTGAAATTATCATATTATAAAACATGAGTAAAATACTTAGTTGCATAGTATTAAACACACCTCCTCGCAATTTTAATTCGTGCGATGGCGTTTTTTTTTTCGATTTGATGACATCCGCAATGGTCTTAGAAGAAACTAGCTGCGTTTTACTGACCACAGATAACAGTTCTTTATCGCTGATTAATGGATATCTAACGACAGATAAAACATTGGTTTTAGTATCAGCGTCTAGGTCGAGTTGGTGCTTGTCGATCCAGCGACAAACCGCCCGGAATATGTCCAATTCGTTAGCAGCAAACGAGTCACGACTGAGAACGTCTTGTAGCGCTTGCTGTAACAAAAATTAATCGATTGTTAGCTTTTCATAATAATATGTATTATAATTAATATTTCTAGCCAAAATAAACGCATTTTGCAATCTGTTTTGGCGCCATCTAGCGGTGAAAAAATAAACAACCACTAGATAGCGCCACACCCACAGATTTTCGTCTATGCGAAATCGGTTAGAAGAAGTCGGAGAAATAATTACCGGCGGCAAAAACAGAAAATCTTCGGATTCCAATACGGCCAAAGTGTGCGATTCGATGAAGTCGAGTAGTTCGACATCGAGTTGTTCGTGTTGATAAAGTCGGGCTATGGCAAACAATGAACATGCATTGTGTATGGTGATGTTACTTCGAAAATACTCGGACAGTGAATGTTGTAAGTTTGAAAAACCATAGTAATGCGCAATCTTAAATAGTTCCACAATAACTGCGTCCTAAAACAAAAATAAAAATTACATAATCGATCGAGATAAAATATACTGCTTTTTTTTCATATCACAAAGACAACAAAATAGTGTTTGGCTGAATTTAAAGCTACATCGATGATATACTTTACCTCTAGACGACTTAAATTTATTCGACCGGTATAGCTATATTTAAGAAGTATTTTAAATGAAGTCACTGATACTTCTTTAATTTTCACTTTATGCCGACCGGATTCATCAAAACTCCCATAAAAATATTTGCTAAAATGTATACACAATATTCACATAAACATTAAACTGCTATATATGCCACAATATTATCATTACCTCAATAAACATAAAATATTATATTATTATCAATCATATCAGCAAAAAAAGACATTTTTTTTTATTAAAAAATTAAAAAATTTAACGGTTAAATAAACAGTTATACCAACATAAAAAACCATTTTCAAAATGTGAATACCTAGTATACATAGTATTTATTCACCGTTAACTATTCAATTCTGCCCTGTATTTACCTATTGAAAACATGGCTGGTTAATTAAAAAAAACTGTAAAATTGGAATCACATATTTGACGAATTTGGTTATTTATTTTATTAGTTTATATTATGCTTAATGGTAAGAATTAAGTACCTGAAAAAGCCACTGTGTGTGGCTAACACAAGTCGATGGGCGTGCAATTCTTCATTATCTACAACGAAAACAACATCCGAAAACCTTAAATAAATATTAAAATATATTAATAATGTACATACGAATACTAAAAATCAAATATAATTTATGTATAATTAAAGATATTTAAAAATAACGCTGAGCAATTAAAACAAATTTAGTTATTAAGAGTTCTCGCTTTGTTAGATTATTGAAATAACATTCCGTTTGAGTATACGCATTTGTTATCTTTACTTTAGGTATAGTTTCAGCGACAGTAAATCAATAGTAGCTTAATGTATCATGGTGACGTCAATGGTCATAAGTAGGTATAAGTACATTACTACATACCTTTCATTTAGATACAGTTTGCTAATGTCGTCGACCAAGAAGTGAGCGTGATCGATTTGCTCGTAATCGGACGGATTGGACGAAGAAGGAGGTTTGGAAAATGCTAAAAAAATAAAACAAATTTGTATAGTTTATGTACGTTATAAAGTACCGTCCAGTCATATTATTTAAATTTTTTTTTTTTAATGGCGTACTTAAGTTTTTTAAGTAAAATAAATATAATGGTTGCAGTACAGTTAAGTAATTGTAAAAACTTTTGTGTATGAAATATATGACGTACCTGGAATTGACCTTATAAGGATCAGAGCTAAAAAATAACTAAACGTCATCGTGCTATACGCGATAGTAAAACGATTCTTTAATTGTCTAAAAAACACATTTAGAAAAATAAAAACCTTGTCTGTGGTTATCGTTAAGACCGATTGAAATATTACATTTTATTCTAACAGCGTGCAATTTTTTTGTAATATTTGATAGAGCTTAGAAACGAGAGCATAACTGTGTGCAAAATCAGTAGGTATACGTTTTTTCCCCCTAAAGCTACGAAAACATGTTATTGTCAAAAAAAAACACATATATTTTGTAAACGACGACAATCATAAGACAGAGACACGTTATTTAGGCCACACTAGTTGACACGCAAGTCACGCCGCGGGCACACTTGTGTTAAGATATTGTGTTGACATTAAATACATTGTGATTGATACCACGCTTGATAAAAAAACCGTACCGATAACATAGATTTTGGTTTTGAAACGAATTGTTGTTTGGGTACCAAATCAAACCTTGGTTGGATACCAAATTTGATCGTTTTAGAGTTTCAAACACAACCGAATGATCCAACCACGCTTCCATGCGAAGTTTAGACCCTTTTGATTTAAAAAGGCCCTTCGCAATCTTAGCCATACTCAAGTAGAAGAGCTCTACTTTATCAAGACCCACAGATAAGGTAATACTAACTGTATCTAACAAATCAGAATTTTGTTAATGACTCAAAAGGTACTACAGGTAGTACAAATGTAAATTATCAGCCTCGGTTTTTTTAATTGCAAGCCGATTTTATAAAACAAACACTAAAATTGTCAGCCAAAAATCATCGAGGAATTTATTTCCCCTTTCTTACAATTCTTTACTCTGACTTCAAAATAAATAGTACCAGTCATTTAAAATATAACCGACTAACTTTTAGAAATTTATTTCTGGTATACATAATTTCATACTCAATCCATTATGTAAACGATGCCGGAAACTCGATTTTATGATTCTTTATATATTTCTTCATGGTTATTGTTATCTTATAAAGTGATAATTATTCAGAAACTCCTAAAATCTAGCAAGGTTTATTTTATGAACTCAATTTACAAATTAAAAAAGCCTGAAATATTATTAATTCTTTACTAGAATTACACAATGCGAAAAATGTATTATCAACCATGAAACAATGTGATTTTTATTTTAAGTGAATAAAAACCGTAAATAATAATAATAAAATAGTAAAATATAAAATAAAATAGGTATTTTATATTTGACAATCTAGGTAGGCGTAGAAGAAAAAACTATGATTTTATTTCAAATTTGGCTAAACGACTGGAGCTTCGGTTATTGTTTCACTCATAAGAATATCTGTTTCGTTGTTGTCCTGAAATGAAAAACTCTCAATAAATTTCTGACTATATCATTGTACATAAAACCAATTGTAATAGAACAATTACTATAATTTGTATCGAATATGATGGACCAACCTCATAACTAGCTACATCACGATTGACTTCAACGGCGTTTGGATCTACCGCTACTTGAACGGGAGCCTCCAACTCTTCACAATGAAAATACTACAACATAAAAGTTATTAACCATTTTCAAATTCATTATTAGATTAGTTTAACTCACATTGTCTACCGAATCGTTAATGCCAGTAATACGAATGTACACAATCGGTCTGCATTTAAATTGTAACACTTGACACGATGTTATAAACTCATTGGTTTTGTCTACGATCTCTTCCCAATCCTGATTGTTAACAGAAACATCAATAAGAAAACCGAGTTCTCCGTCATCTTCATCCCAAAAAAGCATTCTGTAAATTATGACAAAACCCAATAAGTATGTAGGTAAAAAACCCAACCTTAAGTAAACCTCTCTGAAGAAAGGAAGTATGTGTGTACAAATATGTTAAAGCAGAGAGTAAGATCTTCTCTACGGCAGAGAAGATGCAATAAATAGGGAAAGATGGCGACTAATTTGATTAAAATAGCTGCATTTGAAGGTCGAAACCCTCTAGAAGTATACGAAGACAATGAATATCAAATTGATTAACATTTTTAAAATTTGCATTAATCATTCACGACATCAAACAATCATAATATAAAATAAAATAGTCTTGTAATAGTTATAAACATTTACCTCATTGAACAAATCATATAGGGTTGTGCTAGTTGAACAACTATACAACCCGAGTTCAGTCGAGGACATTTGTAATAATTAAAGTCGTATTCAAAGTTGCCATCCAACATTAAAATATTAGTGAAACGATACTGTGCGAATACAGCTGCGTCCATAGATATTGTAGTAACATTGTATTTCGGAGCTAAACGTGGAAATCGGTTAATAAAAAATAAATGTTTTTTTTATTATTTAAAATATGAAGATTCTTAGTTTCCTTACCGACAAATCCGTTTTCGATGTCTACTGTGTGCATTTCGTTTGTATTGTACTTAATTTCCGAAATCCTGAATGCCTTTTTATCCGTACTATAGGTCCCAACAACTCGGATGTACTGAACTATTCGTGGATGAATCCACAAACGTTGAGTTGATCGACAATGATAATTTGAATGATCTATGACACGCACCCAATCGTTTTGATCCATTGAAACTTCAATGTAATATGAATAAGATCTAAAGTATGAAATAATGCGAGTAAATCATTTCCAATATTAAAAAGTCAAGAAACGTAAATAGTGAAAACAAAGTTCTGGAAAAAACTAAAACCACTTTTATTACACAAATGTATGATTCAAAACCCTACCCTGTATCTGAATACCATAAATACATATTCATAGAGTATAAATTCATTTCAATGTAGTTTATAGTTGTTGGATGATCCAATTTTATAGTAGTCACGGCATCTGTTACACTGGAAGTCGCTTCACAAGAATGAGCAAAGTTCACGTTGGGCCCTAAAAGAAGAAATATTTTTGATTAATATAATTGTATATACAGCAAGCGTACTTGCTAGTTGATAGTAGTATCATAAAACATTAGTAAAATAATTAGATGCATTTTGGACGTACGTCCTCGAAATTTAAACTCATATAGTGGCATTGTTTTTATAAATTGTATGGCATCCGAAATGGTATTCGGATCGACCAGCTGCGAATCGTTAACCACAGATGTCAGTTCATCAATACTCATCAATGGATATCTGACGGCAGATAAAACGTTGGTTTTAACATCAGGATCAAGGTCTTCTCTTTTCCTTTGGATCCAGTTACTAACCGCACGGAATACATCTAATTCGTAAGCAATTAATGAGTCACGACGAAGAAGTTGTTGTATTGCTTCCTAAAAGTAGAATAGGTTTCACGACTATCATCTAAACGTTGATTTTGGTTCTTACGGCCGACAAAGTGAGAAAATCTTTAGATTGAAATACATCCGTAGCGTGGCTGTCGATAAAATTTAATGTTTCTTCTTCGAGCTTCTTGAGTTTATAAAGATTGGCCGCAGCATACAATGAACATGCATTGTCTACATTGATATTTCTGCTTAAATGCTCGGACAGTGAAATATGTAAGTTGTAAAAAGCAAAATAATGTGAAATTATAAACAATTCCCAAATAATTTCGTCCTGAAAAAAAATGTACACAACTGATTGATCGTTTTCCGATAAATATATTTTTCCATTTTGCATAGACCTAATAAAAATAGTGCAATACTTTACCTCAAGACTACTTAAGTTTATTCGACCGGTATATGTATAGCCAAGAAGTATTTTAAATGAAGTTAATGGTACTTTAGCAATTACTATATCACGCTGATGGATCTCTTTATAATTTCCGTAAAATAAATTGCTAAAATGTATAAACAGTAATAATACAAACATTAAATTATATCATGTGCTACAACTTAAGGCTCGGTTTAATTCACGGGCTACATAAAGGATGTTATCCGTCTTATTTAACTTAGATGTATTAAACTTATTTTGAGCTCAGCCAAGTAATAATACTAAGGTATTATAATCACTAAAGGAATGGTATGCTTAATGATAAGAATTGAATACCTGAAATATTCACTGCGTGAGGCCAACACAACACGATGGGCGTACAATCGTTCATTTTCTACAACTAAAACAACATCTGAGAACCTTAAATAAATATTGAAATGTATTATTATAACACACATTTGAATACTAGAAACGAATAATAAAATATATTTTTTTTATACTTTAAGATATAAAATATTGTTCAGAGCAGATAAAAAATAAGTTTTGTTATTAACTGCTTTCGTTCTAATTATATATTTAAAATTACATTATGAAAATGTACATGCATTTGTTATCTATATTTAATGAATAATTTCAGCGATAGGCTATTTTATGTATAATTTTGATGTTAATAGTCATAAGGTGTACCTGTAAAAACAATAATAAAAATATTAGGTATAAATACAGTTCTACAAACTTTTCTTTTAGATGCAAATTGCTGATATCATCGACCAAGAAGTGACCGTGATTGATTTCCTCGTAAGTGGGCAGATAGAACGAATGTGATGCAATTTCGGTAAGATAAGAAAATGCTAAAAAATTAAACCGATTTTAATAACTAATATTTCGTTTATTGTATGTACAATATGAATTGGTATCCAGCCAACTTATTTTTTGTACATATTTTTTAATGGTGTATTTTAGTTCTTTAAATCAAAAAATAATAATCCATCTGGTGGTGAGCAAATAGCAAAATATATAATTTACATAATTGCGTTCAGAACCTATCGCTTAGGGTTGAACGTTTCGCAAATTATAAGATGACAATTTATGTAGACTTGCATGAATTGTATTACATACCTGGAATCGCCTGTAATATGATTAAAGATAAAAAATAACTAAACATCATTTTGCTATACTCGATTATGATATGATTTTTGAATTCTCTAAAAAAAAAAAAAATTAAAAAATAACAAACTTGTTTAAAGTTTTCGGAGAACAATAAAGTTGTATACACGATAATGTTTATAATAAATATTTTAAACAAAATCTGTGTATATAGTTTTTGTATAACAGTTTGTATAGGTACCAAAACATGTTATTATTGTAAGTGTTGTCAAATAATACACAACAATTTGAATATGACGTCAAGCTTATACACCACGCTCATGATCAACTGTTGATACTGAATTAAGACCAAACGTACCGACATAACATAGCAATAAATGTAGCACCACACGATAGAACTAATATAATTGTAAACGGCCAGCGGCAAATGTCGGTGGCAGTCTCCCGTCCGATACGCGGAGAGTATAAAATATTAACATCATCCTGTGGTTTATTACTGATAATAACAGTAAGAATACAGTCACATGGGCCACTACATTTTTTCATTGTTGGATACAGTCCCTAATTTTTTTAACGCTGCAACCAGATACAGACACTATATAAACTATATAAACTAGGTAAAAACAATAGTACACGCGACCATACTTTCCTAGTAACAGAACGGTCGCTTAAGGAAGAGTGCTCATTTCCCGGACCAAGCCCAAGAGATGAAAAATCACCTTAAATTAGTTAGGATTGCGCAAGAATCTCTCTCGCTCTTTTTATAAAAAGAGGAACCGTTTCACCAAAAATACAGTAAACTTAGACACTAATAAAGACATAAACAGTTGTGGAGAGTATAATATAAAGACGCGAAGAGAGATTTTTGGAGAGAGCGAAAATTCTACTCCTTTTCTGTTATTACAAGACACACAAATTATTTGCCAAAAATTATCTACACTTTTTTAACGTTTATTAAACTCACTTTAAAATAAACAGCACCAGCCGCTTGATATAAAATCAACGAATATCTAGAAATTAATTTCTGGTTTACATAATTTTACTCCTAACCCGTTATGTACACGGAAGCCGAGAACCGATTTAATGGCTTTTTATATATTTTTCCATGGTTTTTGACATTATCAAAGTTATTAAGTAATAACTATATAGGAATTCATAAAAACTACCTAGACTTGAAATGGACAAAACAAAAACAACCACAATTAGCAAGTAAAAAAGTATTGAATAAAATTAAAATTGTGGTACATTTTTACATTGCGTAAACTCTAAAATGTATTTTCAAACAAATTGTTTTTATTTTATGTGAATTCATATAAAAAAGAAGTAAAATATAAAATAAAATAGATGTTTTATATCTGTCAATTCTGGTAAGCGTAGATAAGAAATAATTAGCATATATTTTAAATATGTCTAAGCGACTGGAGCCTCAGCTATTGCTTCTCTCATTATAATTTCTGTCTCGTTGTTCTCCTGAAATAAAAAATTCTCGATAAATTTCTGACTATATCATCATACAAAAAAAAAATTATAATAAAACAACTATAATTTGTATCGAGTAAGAAGTAAGAACCTCATAACTTGATACATCACTATCGACTTCAACAAAGTTTGAATCTGGCGCTGCTTGAGCGGGCGCTTCCAATTCTTCACAATGAAAATACTACAACATAAGATTTATTAACCAGTTTCCAAACCAATTTTAGATTAATTACACTCACATTGTATGCCGAATCGTTAATACCAGTGATACGAATGTACACAATCGGTCTGCATTTAAATTGCAACAACTGCCACGATATTGGAAACTCATTTGATTCGTCTACGATCTCTTCCCAATTCTGACTGTTAACAGAGACCTCAACAATATATCTGAGTTCTCCGCCATCTTCATCCACAAAAAGCATTCTTTAAATTATGACAAAACGTTATAAGTTTTTGTACACCATGTATCTACCCTATCACTGTCGATACGTGAAAATTCCACAAAAGAACTTGTTGATTTAGCTGGATGAAATAAAAGAGATTTTTAAAAGAAATTGAATGTGGGTCAGCCATGCTTGAAGAAAATAAGGCTTAATAATCAAAACGGTGTAAAAATATGTTAAGCAGAGAGTGAGACCTTGAGATGGAAAGATGGCGACAAATTTGTTTAAGATAGCTGCATTTGAAGGTCGACCCCCATTGGAAGACAATGAAGACTATAAATACCTACCGAATTGTTCAAAATTGATAAAAATTGTATTAATCATTCACAACATTATACAATGCTAATATGAAACAAAATAGTCTTGAAATAGTTCTAAGCATTTACCTCATTGAACAAAGCATATAGGGTTGTGCAAGTTGAACAACAATACAACCCGAGTTCAGTCGATGACAATTATAATTATTTAAGTTGTATTCAATGTGGCCATTCAACATTAAATTATTAGTGAAACGATACTCTGCCAATACAGCTGCATCCATAGATATTGTAACAACATTGTATTTTGGAGCTAAACGTAGAAATCGGTCAATAAAAAATGTAATTATTAAAAAAGAAATATAAAAAATACATTTTTTTTTTTAATTTAGAGTATGAAGATTCTTAGTTTCCTTACCAACAAATCCGTTTTCGATTTCTACTGTGTACATTTCTTTTGTATTGTACTTAATTTCCAAAACGTTGAATGCCTTATTATCCGTGTTACAGGTCCCAACAAATCGAACATACTGAAGTACTCGTGGATAAAACCACAAACGTTGAGTTAATCGACAATCATAATTTGAATAATCTATAACACGCACCCAATCATTTTGATCCATTGAAACTTCAATGTAATATGAATAGTTTCTAAAGTATGAAACAATGCGAATGAATCATTTTTAAGTATCCACAATTCCTGTAGATACATCAATAGATAAATATGTCATCCTATCTCTAATCCATTATCTCTAATCTACCAACTGTTTTAATTCACCTCCTTAATCCTCCACCAGACCCCTTGATAATTCCTTAATACTCCTTTCTAATCCTTCATAACACCTTAATACCCCACCAAAATCCTCCTCCTTAATCCCTCAATAATCCCGCCATAATCCATTATGACGTTAGCACTGTGATACAAAACGTAACAGACAAACTTTCAGAATGACCACCAGCCACAAGACAACCACAATATTTTTCCTGAATAATTAGAATACAATTTTATTTCATAGTGCTTAACTTTTGTCGAACCCATCTATGACTTAAAAACCTACCCTGTTTCTGAATACCATGAATACGTATCATTACTGTATAAATTCATTTCAATGTAGTTTATAGTTGATGGATGATCTAATTTTATAATAGTTACGGCGTCTGTTGTACCGGAAGTCGTTTGATAAGAATAAGCTAAGCGCACATTGCGTCCTAAAACATGAAATATTTTTAATTAATATAATAATTATATATACAGTAAGCGTACTTGCTAGTTGATAGTATCATGAAACATTAGTGAAATAATTAGATGCATAATAGACATACGTCCTCGAAATTTAAATTTATGTAGTGGCATTGTTTTTATAAATTGTATGGCATCTGAAATGGTGTTCGGATCGACCAGCTGTGAATCTCTAACCACAGACGTCAGTTCATCTACACTCATCAACGGATATCTGATGGCAGATAAAACATTGACTTTACAGTCAGGATCTAGTTGGTTTTCTTTATTTTTAATCCAGCTACTAACCGCAAGGAATATATCCAATTCGTTAGCAATAAACGAATCACGTTTAAGAATTTTTACCATTGCTTCCTAAAAATAGAATATGTTTCACAACTATTATCTAAAAAAACGGATATTGGTTCTTACGGGAGACAAGGATAGAAAATCTTTAGATTGAAATATATCCATAGCGTGGTTATCGATAAATTTGACTGCATCTTCATCGAGCTTTTTGAGTTGATAACGAAGTGCCGCAGTAAACAACGAACATGCATTATCCACATTAATATTTCTACTATAATATTCGGCCAGTGAATGTTGTAAGTTAAAAAAACCAAAATAATGCGAAATAATAAATAGTTCCGAAATAATTTCGTCCTGAAAAATAGAAATTACGTAACTGATTAATCGTTTTCTAAATAAAATAGACTAAATAATAACAATTTTGTAAGAAAATAAATCAATTATACTTTACCCCTAGAACGCCTAAGTTTATTCGACCGGTATATGTGTACTCAAGAAGTAATTTAAATGATGTTAATGATGCTTCACTAATTGTCACATCACGCTGTTGGGATTCTTTATAATTTCCAAGCAATAATTTTCTGGAATGTAAGATTCGGTGTATTTCATGGACAACAAAATTTATGTTTTTAGTCAAAATTTTAACATAAACACAGCCAAGTGTAAAATAGAAGTGTGGCAGTTGTTCAATTATCAATCAATTGAGAAAGAAGACAAGTAATCTTTTATTTGTATAGAAAATTCATAAAAATATGAACTTTACAAAATCGAATATGAGATATTACTTAAAATAAAATGCCTAAGAGACCCAGTTACGGTACGATTTTCGTTCGATAATATTAATGCAATAATAAAATAATAAAAAAATAGATAATTGACAGATTTGTGTATTATATACATACTAAGCTATCAATATCACAAAAGGAATGGTAATATCATTACCATTTAGTGTTATTGATAAGCGTTGTATGCTTAATGAAAAGAATTAGACACCTGAAATATTCACTGCGTGTGGCTAACATAAGTCGATGGGCGTGCAATCGTACATTATCTACAACGAAAACAACATCCGAAAACCTAGAATAAACAATAAAATATATTAATGATACACAAATGAATGTATAAATACAGTACTACATACGTTTCATTTCCATACAGACTGCTGATGTCGGTTACCAAGAATTTAGTGTGGTCGATCTGCTCGTAACCGGACGGATTGGACGAAGAAGATAAAAACTCGGGAGGCATAGAAAATGCTAAAATATAAAAAAATGTATAATACATGTACGATATGAAGTAGCGTCCAGTCATTTGGTCTTACGTATTTTTAATATTGTATTCTGGTTTCTTTTAAATTAAATAACAGTAATGGATTTATGGCGCATTATGATAAAATAATTATACAAATATTCAAATGTTTTTAGCGTTTAATATAAAACTAAATACAGAGCCTGAACTAACCTTACAATGTACATGTTGAAAAATATCAAATTAGCCTCAACTAGAGCTTTCTACAGAGTGATTCATGGACCACTCAATATCTCATAAGGTTTAATAGGAAATTTTTTTTTACTTATAGTTTTTATACAATATGATCTCAATTTTTCACAACTTTTTTTGTTTTAAGTCGTAATTGTATTCAAAATCTATCGCTGAGGACTAATTGTTTGGCATACAAAGAGAAAATTTATGTAAAATTGTATGAGTTATATTACGTACCTGGAATTGACCTTAAAATGATCAAAGCTAAAAAATAACTAAACGACATCGTGCTTTACTTGATAGTAAATAACTTTTTAAATTCTCTATAAAACACCTAAAAACAAACCTTTGTTCAAAGTTATTGAAGACAGATTGAAATATAAATTTTTTTGTAAATAACGAACCATCTTTTTTTATACTCGATAGCGTTTATAAACATGTAATTGTGCTCATAATCTGTGTAAGTACAAAAACATGTTATTGTTGTAAGTATTGCCAAATAATACACAAAGATTCGAAAATGACGTAAAACATATACACCACGCTCACGCTCCACTGTTGATACTGAATTAAGACCAAACGTACCGACATAACCTGGCAATAAATGTAGGACAGCAAGATTACAATTTGTCCTATTTATTTAAGTAATACATTTAATTATTATTAAATACCTGGAGTTGACCATAAAAAAATAATAAAATCTAAAAATTACATCATCCTAGTGTTGTTTTATTATTGAAATATGTTGGGCGCTCTATAATCTAATCTTGTCTTAATATTTTTATAACCAATGTGAATATTTAGTTTTATTATGTGAGCTTACAATCGTTTTCCATACTCGATAACGTTAATAAACGATAAATTGTGTATACAATTGGTGTACGGTTTTTTTGTTTAAGTACATTAACACGACGTTATTGTTGCACCTCTATTGACTAATATTGCCCAAAAGATTTAAAAATTATAACAGTCTTACACATCTAGTCCGTGTTTAATTATTTTCAAATTAAAATAAAAAAATTACAAAATTGGTTTTTACACTACATATCACATTCAATTACACTGATTTAATAGTCGCTAAGATTAGCTGATATTTTTCCAAAAAGAATTCTATGAAATTGAACTTTGCTAACTCTTAAATTTTTTCCATATTGACTCTGAGTTTCAACGCACAAATTGTAAAATATATTATAGTTCATAAAACGGAAACAGATATTTTAATAGGTTTAATAATTTCTTATAGGGAATAAAATCTGTTTGATCATGTATCTGTTTAATTTTGGTAAGGTTTTCCTTTTATGACTATTGCAATTTTTTTTAACGAACTGAAAAAAAGTCCTTTCTAAGTAGACAAGGAGTCTACCTAGAATGAACTTAACTCAAAAAGTTTATATATAATATAAACAATTATCATTACAAACTGTTGGTTGTATTAAATCTCAATACATAATATTTCTTTTAACCAGTAATAAAAAAAAATGGAAACACTTATTTATCACCTTTCTCGTTATTCTGGCATTCTTATATGTACTACTTTATACCGAGAAAAAATTATTCAAAAAGGTTCAACAGTATTTATTAGGGACTAATCAATAATAAATATAGTTGGAAAATTAAAAGTTCCTTCATTTGTTGTACATTATTGTAAGAAATTATATACAACAATACACAACGTGAAAACCTTGTAATTTTATTTTATTTTTTTAACGAAAATGGAAATACAAAAAAAACCACAGAAAAATATAATTGTATTATACTTACAAATATTTACAAATATTAGAATTAAAATTTAATTTAATCGATTGGAGCTTGAGCAGGTGCTTCTACCATAGCAATATCTGTTTCGTTGTTCTCCTAAAAATGGATATTTTCTCTTAGTTTTTGTCATAGTAGTAGTAAAAATAAAATATTTGAGTATTTTTTTTACCACACGGTCGTCTTCAACGATGTTGGAATCTAATGGTACTTGAGAGGGAGCCTCCAAATATACACAACGGAACTCCTACAGCATAAAAGAGTTATTAAAAGCTTAAAAAAAACACTCTTAGATTGATTTTACTAACATCGCCATCTGAACTGTAAACGCCGGTAATTCGAATAAACACTACAGGCCTGGGTTCAAATTGCAACACCTGCCAAGATCGTGCCAGCTTCTGAGATTTGTTTATAACAATTTCCCAATCCACATTATTGACTGAAGATTCAATAATATAGCTGTAATAATATTTGTAGCCACCCCAGAGCAGCATCCTGTCAATTATAGCAATACTAATTATTTGGTCTTAGTTTAATAATAAATAAAAGTCATCGATAATTCGAAGAAGATATTTTTTTGTTTTATTTAAGAACAAACATATAATAAACAAATCATAAGAAAATATATATCAAACTAAACTAAATAATTGAATAACGAAAAAACTAATAAAATATGTTAGATAATATTATTATTTATTGTTGTTAAAATTGTCAAAAGAAGCCTGGCCGTCATAGTGATAACATTGCTATACTAATTGAAAGATATTTTTACTAATACCAGCAGGAGGTGGGAGGGGTCGACTACAGAAAACCAGAGATCTATGCGATGAAAAATGTGCAATTTGTTTAGGGTATGTGAAGGGATATTATAAACTAAATAAATAATAATTCGTTCTGAAATTTAGTTCTGGTCTGAATAATAGTGTTAAAAGAAAAGAATGACGCAATACGGTGAGTTAAAAATAGTGAAATGAATGCTACAAAAAATTGCAAGATGTTCATACTAATACCTCATCGAACTAAGTATAAATGGTTGGTCGAAACGAACCACTATAGAACCCGATCGCAGCTGATGGTATGTATAAATAAACGAGTCTTCATAATTGTTTTCTAGCAACGACTGGCGCGTTGAACTATATTCTCCTTTAATTACATATGCATTATGAGTTCTTGTAGCGACGTTACACTTAGGAACTAGATGATAAAATAGTAAACCAGACATATATATATATATAATATAACGTATTTTTTTATAATTAAATAACAGGGTCATTTTAGGTTTCGTCACCGATCAACCCGTTTTGGATTTCCACCAAGTGCATATCGTTTGTATTGTAATAAATTGTCCAAACTTCAAAAGACGCATCAGCGGTACTATTGGTTCCAACGATGTTTATATAACGAACTAAGCGTGAATGAAACCACAAACGTTGAACTGAACGACAATCACAATTTGAATGATCTATAACACGTATCCAGTTTTGCTCGTCCATCGAAACTTGAATGTAATAAGAGTATGGCCTAAAGTATCAAGTAGTTCAAATAACTTGTAGAGTAGTGGTTAACAAGTATAGATAACGAATTTTCAATCGTCGACAAATTTGTTAGCTTTATTTATAACTAAACAAAAAAAAATCTTGACAAATAAAAATCAATTACGAATAAAAGACACAAATATTTTTAATAATCATTCGAGTAGATTTTTTTTTAAATAACGCTCATTTCGATTAAAAATATTAAACAGTTAAAAACATACCTTAAATCTCCATTGCATAATAGTATTTCAATATAGTTTACAATTGATGGATGATCCAACTTTAAAATAGAACCTCGGGTAATGCTATGGGTAACACGAGAAATGTCAGATTGGCGAGCAAGGTTCTCATTAGGTTCTAAAATATGAAGTAATAGAAACAAACATAAATTTAAAAAAAAAAAAACATTCTATGTACAGCAGGCATACTTAGTAGTCCTCTGTATTGAAGTTTATGTGGTGGCCAAGTGTTTATTATTCGTAAGGCACCCGAAATTGTATCGGAACTAACAAGTTCTGATTCTTTAACCTCAGCCAACTCTTCGGCATTCATTAACGGATATGTGACGACAGATAAAACTTTGATTTTATCTCGAGGATCTAGGTTATCTTGTTGGTTCTGATTGATCCAGCGACGAACCGCGCGGAATACATCTATTTCGTTAGCAAGTACCGATTTACTGTTGAGAATTTCTTGTATTGCATCCTACAAATAAAATTTGTTTCACAACTAGTCATCTAACATGAGTAATATTGATTTTGGTCCTTACGGCTGACAAAGACAGGAAATCTTTAGATTCTAATACATCTATAGCGTGTTTTCGAATGAAGTTGAGTGATTCTACTTCGAGCTCTTTGTAAGATTTAATTCGTGCCATAGCAAAGAACAAACATGCATTGTTCGCGTTAACGTTTCTTCGCAAATGATTGTACAGTGAATGTTTTAAGTTTGTAAAAAGAAAGTAATCCGAAAGTCTAAATAATTCCAAAACCTCTTTGTCCTGTAAAATACAGAATAAAATATTTTGTATAATTTTTTGTTCAATAGTCATTGGATCGATTATGCAACTAGACAACCATAATAAAAATAATTTGTATGCCGTTTAATAACATCTTAGCTACGTTGATTTTACTTTACCTCTAGAACATCTAAATTCATCCGACCGGTATAAATATACTTAAGGATGATTTTAAATGAGGTGATTGATACTCCGTGAATTTCCACCTCACGCTTATCGGATTCTTGAAGACCTCCATACAAAAAATTTCTAAAAAAAATAAAATTTTTATATTACTACAAACAAACAATTACTGAATAAAATCATAACAATAATTACTATTTTTATGTTTTTTTTTTTTAATGGGAACATATTATTTTTTAACTCTATTTATTCGTTGACAACAAATTTAAACATTCTTTTGTTCAAAATATTTATGACGGCTGGGACGTGAAAAATGAGTGGAAGTATTTAAAAAATAACAAAACAGGTAGTGAAATTTAGGTCATTAAAATTCCATAGGGTAAGGTCGTTTGGTAATTTAGTAGGCATTTACAGATAAATAAAGATTTCATTGATGCCAAACATTCAGACCAAATTTTCAAAATCTACAGCAAAAAATAAAATAAATAGTTGTCATCTGCCCTGGAAGAATAACCTTATGAAATGATACCTAATGATAAGAATTAAATACCTAAAATAATCACTGCGCGAGGCTAAAACAATACGATGGGCGGACAGTCGCTCTTGATCTACAAGCAAAACCACATCTGAAAAACTGAAATAAATATAAAAATTAGTTATACACATACTATTCGTACAAACATTTGCCATCATATTACAGGTATAATGTTATATTATAATGACAACAGAGTAGAATACATTTTGGGCTATGGTATAAAATAGTTGCATATAAGACGAACATGGCAAATTTTGAAAATAATAATGTTTATAGGTACAAATTTAATACCGCTTACCTGTCTTTTAGATACAGTCTGCTTATATCGGTGACCACTTCTTGAGCGTGATCGATTAGCTTGTTATTGTGCTGTTCGGTTGTAGGCGCAGGCAACGAATAATTGACAGGATCAGAACATACTAAATAAAATGAATAAAATGTCTGATTATTTGGACGAGTTGATATGATTGTCCAATTTATTTATTTTAAATAACATAACTATTATAGTTTTATCATAGTAAACAGAAAACTTTAATAATAGTCAACAATCTTAACGGCACTCGTTTGCCTTTAAAATAATTACAATTTTTCAATTATAAAAATACCTTAAATTCATTTGGTTAAACCTAATTTATAGGTTAATTTTATTTATGAAAAATGTTAAGAGATATTAAGTGATTTCCGTGAAATAGACCACATTGTACAGTATAGGTACATTATTTGCCAGTATCTATTACAATCTTCAAAGTAGGCTTGTTACTTTTTAAGTATAATTAACAAATTATTTAAATAATATTTTTTGGGGAGAATAAATGTGTGAATTAGTTTTAATTAAACAACAAAAATGCTAGTGATATGGTGGGTAATTCTTGGACTACCTGATAAAATAACATAAGAATCAAACAACAAGATATTATTTATGGTACATTGTTAATTGCTAATTAATTCTAAACACAGTCGAGCAAGTGAAGATTTCATACGTATAAAATGTATGGTTGGTTTATTAATTTTTATATTATGAGTTACGCCCCTACTAATAGCAAAAGTGTTATTACAAGGTGAAAAACGATAATGGAATACAAACACACCATGTATCTGCAATAGACCTTAGGACAATAAAAATCTAAAATCGACATAATAATGTTTGCCGTTTACCTATAAACCGCTTATGCAGATAAGTAATATATTTTTCTTATATATTATGTATATTTAAAAAAAAAAACAGAGCGATAATTTAGAGTTAAAGGAACATAGCCCCTTTAGAGATATTTTATAACCCTCATATTGACAGTAAAATTAATAAATTTAAAAAATATTAAACACAACTGCAATAATTTGAAAGCACAATAGCACAGACACAAATTGTACAAACATGGCTGAACTAAAAAGTAATTTTAACAAATATTACTAAACGCAATATTTTATGAATCACACGGCACCTACCATAATCAGTGGCATGGTAAAGAATAATAAAAAAGGAGAACAACAAAATATTTTATCAGAATTTTTGACTAATCTTCCCAATGAGTTTATGGCAAAAGTAATAAATTACAAGTTGAAAATATGTTATGGAATACAAAACGGCATACTGTGTACCTGATGTGGATGTTAAAACTATATTGACTAAAAAATAAATAAACATATTTGTATTCTTCTTAATAATGTGCAGTCGAATTCTTGAATACTTGAAAATAAAAAAAATCAATGGATACTAAGAAACAATTCGAAAATGTTTTTTTAATTTTAATACTGCACCACATTTGCCTGTGCTTGATAGAATAAAACGAATAGTTGTGTTAACATATGGTGTACGATTTTTGAAAAGGTACAAAAACATGTAATTGTTGTATAATGTTAAGTATTAAACACAGATTTGCATCTGTTTTTTTTTTTGTATATTTATATGACTATATTTTGAAAAACGGTATTTTAGCGATATTTTAAAGTTAAAGTTATATAGCCCACAGATTTTTTTACCTATTTTCTAAGCGTTACAAACCGCCGCATGCTTAAGTATAAAGTTCGTATTGTTTCAACAATGTTTATCAACCGAACTATGCGTGGATGAATCCACAAACGTTGAATTGAACGAAAATTATAATAAGTTGAATGATCTATAACACGTATCCAGTTTTGTTGATCCATTGAAACTTAAACATAAAGACCTAAAGTAACAAATAATCTATGTAACTTGTAGATTAGGAACTGAGTTGTCGAATAATAATAATATAAGTTCTAAACAAATTCTTAAAAAACAATGAGAATAGACAATAATTTTTAAATCATTGAGAATTTCTTGTATTGCATCCTATAATTGACCATAAAATGATAAAGGCTAAAAAATAGATTATTTTAATGGGACAATATTTGTTAATATAATATGTTATGTTCAAGACTTATAAAGCGCTGTAATGAAAACCTTGTCGAGAGATATGGAAAACCTATTTAAATATGTAGTTTTATTTATTAAACGTACAATATTTCTCTACACTTTTTAGAATACATAGCAATTTCTCACATTAACGCATCTCTTGTGAGCGTTGCCATCAAGAGTTTAAAATGCATTAAGGTGTCTTCTACCTCAGGAATGGTAGACTTGTCCAAAGCGTTCGACAACGACCACCATAATTATTATATTAGTCGGACTTTGGATTTATTGCCATTGACGAAGAACCTACGAAAATTGCTTTGCACTTCAGTTTCAGAAATATTATAAACTTTGAGGTGAACAGAAAACCACTGTTCATATTGCTAACGCATTCCTAAAAAATCTTCTCTTTTACCCACTTTTTTCAAACTATGATACGATTTTGTCCTTAAGCAAATTTCAGATTTTGAAGTGTCCAATACACATGGGTTTCAGCTGCATCAAGATTTTGATAACGTCATCATTCTGAGGTTCGTTTTTGATACTGCGCTAGTTGTAAAGGACCTAATTAGTGCTGCTATACCAGTCGAAACTGTCAAGGATCTTTTCTCTTCGGTAAGAATTAATAAAGATTGAAAATTAAATCATTGTTCTAATAGACATAGCAAAGCTCAATGACAATTTAATTCCAGCAGTCTGCTTCAGCCGCCCATTCAATTAAGTAACTTGGTGTTAATTTCAATGATGAAATTTTAATTGACGGTAAACACATTCTATTACAACTTGAGTTTATCATATATTATAATATGAAATTATTTATGTTTGAATCTATATCAAACTCCAATATTATTATAAATACTACGAACTTGCATATTGTTGGGTAAACTGTGTCTCAAGACAACTCAATCGTTTGAGAAGTCCACTTTATTGTTTTTCTATTAATACATTTTTTTATATTTAATGACAACAATATCTGTTTTTAGGAGAATAACAAAACAGTTGATCAGATACCAGAAATATTGGCTCGATATCCTGTCGTTTTACCGAATTTTAAAAATAAGCATATTCTTGTTCCTTGTGGGCTTATCAAGATTGAATGATATTAACACATATTTTATTATATATGGTACTATTCTATTATTTGTATGTAATTACCTAAATATTTGTTTTTTGTTTTACGATTGTAAGTAAATTTAAGAGTTTCAAATTATGTAGTTATACAATAAATTTAAAAATAATCAAAACCTTTCAATCAGTTTATTGTGTATAATCTTGTATTGTCGTTGTCAATCCTTGCTGTATGTGGGGAAATGTTGTATAATTTTTCATCAATTATATTACAAAAACCGAAAATAGTTAAAATTTAATAAAATTTAATAAATACTGCGTTAATGAATTGTCAATTATAGTGATTCTATACAACAAATTAATTTTTATTTTCTTAAAAATATCTCTAACATAATAGTATTAAGCTTAAAATGATACTTATCTTTATAAGCTACTAAAAATAATATATACCATTAAGAACTATATAATGATATGCAGGGTTATTCATTTAACGCAATCCACTCAATATCTCCTTAACTGTTATTCTCCTAAATATAATTTTGTAGATTTAATTTGTGTGCTTATTTTTTGTCAACTAATTGGATTTGCTGTACACTGTAGGCAAATATTCTCAATTTTATCTGGTATTTTTCACGGCTTTAAGAATTCAACCGACTTTTGAAACAAACTCATCCGAATTATTTTAATAAAACATATTTATCATACATTTTGTATTATAAATATGCCAATAAATAACGATGTGTTGTCTTTATAGTTTCATAGGTTGATAATGTTTAGAGTACAATATTAAGCTGTAGTAAAAGGATATACTGTAGTTTATAGTTATCGTTTTTTAAAAGTTTTGTGACATAATATTGTGGGTTCACTCGCGGTTATTGGTGACTTTATTTACAATTAATAAACAGTATAATTTACTTGTGTATAATTATGCAATGTTAGTACTTTACTTGCGTAATAAATTGTTATTAAATAATTTATAAAACATAAATCGTTTTGGAGACCACAAAAAAAGTCTATGACCTGTTTTAGTTTTGAAAATGCGACCAATTTTTAATGTTCATACATAATATAATATTGATATGTAGAAGATTACTCTGTCGCACGTGAATCATTGTAAAAAAGCTGTTTAGTAAAAACAAATAATAAATATAAACTTTAAGACTAGCGTCATTTTCATATATTTGTTTAATATTTACCATATGCGAACTAGATTATTCTTTTATGATATATCATATAAAGTATAGAAAAAGTTGGTGCAGTATTTAATAAAAAAACATACGCTCAATCGGCTCTCAATATCTTTTGACAAGAATTTTTTTCAAAGTGTTTAAGAATTTGACAACATATTAGATTACGAAAATGTACAAGTCTCTTTTAGCTTTTATCGTCTTAACGTTTACTTCAGGTACATAATATGTTTTGTATTTCATAATCATTTTTCATCTAGTAATTTAATTATTTTGCATAAGCTCATTGGAAGATGATTCCTCTTTTCCTTAATAATTTATTTAGAGTTCCTATTCGATACGATTGTCTTTGTTATTCTATTTCCATTTTTACCATGCTACTGATTAGGGTATAAGCTATGTAGTTCATAAAATATTGCTTTTTATCGATTACTTAATTTACTCTTTAGTTCAACCAGTTCTAATTTGACTTATTGCTATCAAATCATTACATATGCGTGTATTTTATTTTATTATTATTTTTACTGTGCAATAAAGTATTTATTTTCAGTTGTGTGAAGTACGAGGGGCACGACTAAAATATATTAATAATTCATATAAACTCGTCCGGATAATCAGCTGTTCTTTTAATTTTTTTAGCATGTCTTGATCCTGTCGATTGTAAGTTGCCTTCGCCTATGCCCGAAGAGCACAGTAACGAGGAAATTGATCACAATCACATCGTGATCAGCGATATAAGCAATCTGTATCGGAACGAAAAGTATGTAATAATGTATTGGTCTTTATTGAATTTATTATTTTCAGTATAGGAGTTTTTAATAATTATGAATCATGTTAAACATATTTTTATGACTTAAATAAAAATGGTGAATGCATGTCATTATAAAATTGGTGAAATCTGAATAAATTACAATTTACTACATAAATATGATACAGTAGGATATTACCACATCGCGTTGGTCATTATAACGTTGACAATAATTCAAGACATGCGAGTTTATCTTGTATACAGTTCTTTAATACTATAGCCCAACATGTATTCTAATATATTAACATAAAAATATGTTTTACAATTAATACGATGGTATAACTCATAATTTTTTTATTTTACATAGCAAACGAAATTGTTCATCAATTATGTAATACATAGTACATATTTCTATGTCGTATAGATTGTTTTAATTTGGCATTAACTTGTATATGGTTTTGTCAAAAAAAAAATACCTAAATAATATAATATGACGCATTATTAAATCACATTTTTCAGTCATTTAACTTGATGAGCATGTTGATTTTTAAAACTTTAAAACTATGAAACATAATAATTTTGAATTTTTGATAAATCGTAACTGTATAATAGTAAACTTTGATGTTTATTTTAGGTATTCTGATGTTGTTTTAGTTGTCGGTGGAAATCGGTTGCACGCCAATCGTGATGTTTTAGCCGCACGCAGTTCATATTTTAGGTATTTAATTTTTTTCATCAAGCATACAACCTTAGTATTAATCTACGTTAATTCGTGTACACTCGGTGGACGCAAGCATAGCCAGACACCGACAAAATCATATTACATATCAATTTAATATGATTTTTTCTCCTGATTTTAAATCTGAAATAATTTTTTTCGTAAGATAACTTTTTAATGAGATACAAGTCCTATTTTAAATCATTTTTGAATTTAAAAAAATGAATACCATTTATTGTACCCATAGAGCATCTTGAATGTCTCACTTGAAGCTCGGTAGAACTTTACATTACACCATGTATGTATATATATATATATATATTTGTATTTTGTAAAAAATGTGTTATAGAAGCTATTTAGACTGATTTTAGCGTGTCTATTTCAAACGTATGTAGTAATGTTTCAATATTATCTAACTTACCGGGTCAAATCAGTGTTAGTATAGGACTGATAACAATTCAATTGTGTAGTCGATAAGGTTATACTCACAATACAATGGGCAATACAGATTGTGGCACACATCATAATATGTGGCTTCATCTAATACCCTGTAAACATTTTTAGCAAATTATTTTATGGAAGTTATGCAGAAGCGAAAAAGTCTGAGGTGCCAATTAAGGAAGGATCAGTAACCTCATTTACAATACTTCTAAAGTATATTTATACTGGTCAGATGAATTTAAGTGATCTAGAGGTAAAGTATAATTGATTTACCATACCGCTATTCGAACGGTATAAACAGTATTTGTTTTTATATGAAGTGTTTAGTTGACAAAAATGTTTTTATCAAAAACCGATAATACGAATAGGTAATTTTTTTTTTAGTATGAAGTTATTGTAGAATTATTTAGAATTTCGGATTACTACGGTTTTCAAAAGTTACAATATTCACTGTCCGAGTATTTGCGTAGTACCATTAGTATACACAATGTATGTTCGTTGTTTACTGTGGCACGACTTCATCAACAAAAAAAATTCACAGGCGACTTACTCGAATTTATTGAAACCAACGCTATGGATGTATTGCAGTCTAAAGAATTTCTGTCTTTGTCGCCCGTAATAATTTCGTTTTAAATAATATTGCTAGTGTTAGCTGACAAGATGAGAAACAGACATTTATTTTAGGTAGACCTTCGAGAAATCCTCATTCGTGACACGTTTAATGCTAGAGAATTCGATATATTCAGTGCGGTTAATCGCTGGATCCAAAAGAACGGAAAACACCTAGATCGTGATGCAAAATCTAAAGTTTTATCTGCTGTCCGATGTCCGTTGATGAGTGATGAAGAACTGACGAAGGTTTCGGAATCACGATTGATTAGTTTGGATACAATTTCGAGGGCCAAAATATTAAGAAACACCGGGCGACCACATACGATTGGGTTTCGAGCACAGCGAAGTATGCCTGCTGTACCGATAATTTTGTTGTTATTATTATATTGGTTTTAATTATTTTTTTTATTTTTTAGAACCCGATGTAAATCTTGCTGAGGGTTCTTCGGTTACATATAACGATAACGGTGGTATTATGATAAGGTTGAGTCATCCATCAACCATAAACTATATCAAAATAATATTACCTAAAGAAGATTTAGCGTACGTTTTAAAATTATCAATTCTTTCAAACAAAAAAAAAAAAATCATTCAAACAAATGTTATTTTGAATCAAATGTCATTCATTTGTTTTTATCACAAATTAATTTATTTTAGTGCTATTTGTTGCACGACAATATTTTTTTTTTTTTTAATTTTAATATGTTTTAACCAAAAATAAATGCACAGCAATTGGTTATATTCAATTGATACTTTATGGATTACAGTTATTACATAGAAGTTTCAATGGGCGATAACGATTGGGTGAAGGTAATAGATTATTCAGATTATATTTGCCGTTCAGTTCAACGTTTGTGGGTTTATCCAATTGCAGCATGGTATATTCGTATAGTATATATTCGAACCAAAAATACTGTTAATAAACCATGCAAATTTGAAGAAATCTCGTACAAAACAAACAGACATCACTTGGTGGAAATCGAAAATGAAATAGTTGGTGAGAACACCTATAAAAAAAGCTACCTTTTCTTAATAATATAAAAAATATTAAATGTTTTTCTTATTGACTGTTTTTAATCATTTAGCTCCAAAATACAATGTTATTTCGTCGTTAAAGAATGCACTTATAATCAAAGGTGAAAGTCGTTATGAAAATAATACGCTATTGGACCACTTAGATGAATGCGATATGTATAAAAGATATACATGGCATCAGCTGGGATCAGGTTGTATATTGATTCAGCTACCACAACCTTATATGCTTAGTTCAATGAGGTAATGGTTTAAAAAACTTACCATTATTTTATATCTTAACAGTTTTCCTCTAAACTTGTTGTGTAAACCCGTTAGGTAATTTTTACCTAAGGTACCGTTTATATCTGGCAACTATTGTATGCGTTTAGCTGCATTGAGCCACTTTAATGTTTAACTCATTCGTAGACGGCTAAATGAATGTAATTATTCACTATCATAGTAGCAACATTTGTTTAAATTTAGGTTATTACGAATTAGATATAAATTTTAGAGTGTATTACCAATATTACTGCCATATTTTGCAGGATGTTGCTTGAAATCGATCCTAACGAGTTAGTATTCTTCAAGTACACTATTGAAGTATCGGTAAATAACAAAGAATGGAAAATGATCGTAAATAAAACTAAAAGGGAGACACAATCAATGCAGTTGTTGAACTTTGATCCTACCCCGATAGTGTTTATCCGAATTACTGGCGTTCACTGTTCAGATGGCGATGTTAGTTAAAGTTAATCTAAGACCGTTTTATTTAACTATTGATAACTCTTTTATGCTTTAGGAGTTTCGTTGTGTATATTTGGAGGCTCCCGCCAAAGTAAAGTTAGATTCCGACGATGACAGTGATGACAGCGACGAAACAGATGATCCGATGTCAGGTGCATCAGATTATAGCTACAGTCAATAACCAAATTTGTAGTGGAAGCAAAGGTTTGATTCCATTTGCACTTAACAAGATTGACATATATATCCAACACCTATTTTATTGCATTTGTCATTGTTATATTATTTGTATTCCTTTGAAATAATTACATCTCGTTTTATTTTGTGTTTGAAAATACATTTTTTTCCACATTGTGTATTTTTGGTAAACTGTCTCAAAAAAAGTTCGATTAATTTTAAAGGATATTGCTTGCATTAAATTATAGTTGTAAATAATTTTGTTTATTAAAAAATATTATAATTAAAGTCCATCGAAGTTGAAGTAGGTCACATTTACCCCCCATCCCCCGGCAGATGGCAATGTCATTTTTTTTTTACACACAGGACCTAACCTCTTAATAACCTGTTATACCAAACGTGGTAAGTAAATAAAAAATCTATTGACTTTCCAACATAATTTAATGTTAGAATATTTAAACGAAAGTGTTTAAAATGTTTAATTATAAGTGGAACCGATTAGGGTTGATCTTCTCTTAATAATACATTGCTGTAGTGTTTTCCCATAGAATGCAAAACTATTTTTAAAATACCTGTTGATTTTATGAATACAGACCATTATAGGAATACACGATGATCCATCTAATGACACTCATTTTCTCAAAAAATATTAATATTATAAAAATATGGTTTTCCCTATATTTGTACATATTTTACTATTTTCAATACGTTGAAAATGTTTACCTTTATCCCTTACATAAAAACAAGGGCAACTCTGATTTTTTATAACTATTTTACTCTTCATAAACAAATCTTTAATAAACTCAAACTCAAAATGGAAATGGAATTTTAAAAAGACCGCAAAGTCCGATTCCAAAGAATTCTAGACTTTTGCTATAGTTGGAAAAATTAGCGACTATTTAGTTAGTGTGACTTGTAATTTAAAAAAAAAAAATAAACATGGACGAGATGTACAATGCTGATAACATTTTCAAACCTTTTGGGCAATTTTAAACAATACTCAATATACAACAAAAACATTATTATGTACGTACACAAAAACACACCGCACACAAATTGTATGTACAGTTTTTCGTTTATCAACGTTAGTCTGTATGTATGAAAACATATAGTACGCACTACGCTACTAGAGTAAAATTATTTTCTAGTCACTTTGAACTATACTCAAAAATACAACGACCTGAACTGCGTGGTCCTTAGGTAAATATTTTAGAATTATTTAAATTTACATACATAATATATAGGTACACAAAAGTATATATATATATATACAGTAATATATATAAAGAAAAAATGTAAGAACATAAAATTTAATAAATACTGCGTTAATGAATTGTCAATTATAGTGATTCTATACCACAAATTAATTTTTATTTTCTTAAAAATATTTCTAACATAATAGTGTTTAGCCAAAACACGTTGTTAAAATGATACTTATCTTTTTAAGCTACCAAAAATAATATATATACCATTTAGAACTATATAATTATATGCAGGGTTATTCATTTAACGCAATGCACTCAATATCTCCTTAACTGTTGTTCTCCTAAATATAATTTTGTAGATTTAATTTGTGTGCTTATTTTTTGTCAACTAATTGGATTTGCTGTACACTGTAGGCAAATATTCTCAATTTTATCTGGTATTTTTCACGGCTTTAAGAATTCAACCGAAGTTTTGTGATATAATATTGTGTGTTCACTCGTGGTTTTTTGGTGACTTTGATTATTCTTTTATGATTAGTTATTACAGTATAGAAAAAGTTAGTGCAGTATTTAATAAAAAAACATACGCTCAATCGGCTCTCAATATCTTTCGACAAGAATTTTTTTCAGTGTTTAAGAATTTGACAACATATTAGATTACGAAAATGTACAAGTCTCTTTAAGCTTTTATCGTCTTAACGTTTACTTCAGGTACATAATATGTTTTGTATTTCATAATCATTTTTCATCTAGTAATTTAATTATTTTGCATATGCTCATTGGAAGCGTCTGTTCGTTTCTCACATCTGGTACAACATGTTTGTAATTGGTCGAGTATTAAAACATTTACAGTGAATACAGATAAAAAAAAGCCCACATCACAGTAAGCCGCTCTGCATCGAAGCTATAACATTTTTCTGGGTTTTTATGTGAAATGCTTCAAAAGTGGTAAAATTATATGTTTTTGGGGTCGGTGATTACGAATTTATTATTAGTTTTCAATTTCACTCAGCCAAAGAAAACAAAAATTAAATTTGTGTAAATTAAAAGTCAAAAGTGGTATTTGAGCACAAAACTTAATAGTATCATTCTGCATAGATATACATAAAATTGTTTTAATGTTTTGGGAAATGGGTTTAATTTAAATTTGATACAACTGACGTACGCGAGCATACCAAATAAAAATTTCTTATAAATTTCAACTCGATCAGACTCTTTTTTTTTAAACTATAGCCAGTAAAAGTTCTAACTTAAGAAATCGTACGGTTTTTTTTTTTGTTTTTTCAAATTTCATCTGTGAAGAAGTAATTTTTTTCAACTTTTACCGCCCCAAATACCAACTAGATGAAATTTGTGATTTAAAGAGTTGCTACTCGAAGGAATTGGTCCAGTATTAAAAAAGTTACAGTGTATACAGATAAAAAAAAACACACATCAGAGTAAAACCTACACCTTCGCCTGCATCGAAGCTAAAATTCATCAAATCATTAAAACAATTTAATGTAGATCTTAGTGATTTTATCCGAGAAGACTAGTACAGTAGAGTATAGGCATAATGTAATCAAAGCAATGAGGATTCGGAGAGGTCACAGGTGTACAGGAATTATTATTAATAAAAGTGATAAAATTGAATAAAATCCCTTTCAAATAAACGCTTTGATGGTCATTTGTAAATACAGTTAGTTTGGACTGTACTGGCCTGAAAATACTAACTACCGATTCGCATCAAAGCGTTTTTTCGAAAGTGATTTTATCACTTTCAGATTAAAAAAAATCCTGTAAACCTGTGACCTCCCCGTTCTCACTATGCGCCCACCCAACTATGCTCCGTCCCCACTATCCCCCAATCCCACTGTACTGTTTTTTTTTTAAGATTTTAGGTGTTTTTGATATAATATACGCAATCTGCGAAAACACAGTTTTCCGTCAATTAAAAAAAAAAAGTATTGCTGAATTTGTTTTCCGTTTAATATGTTATGAATACATATGAGTTCTAACTACTAACCAATTCTCATTTTATAGGTCCTAAAATTACGACTAAAAAAACAACAAAAATATGAAACCCCCTACAGGGGTGTGAAATGGGTCTCATTTAAATTTGATACAACTGACGTGTGCAAGCATACCAAATAAATATTTCTTATAAATTTCAACTAGATCCGACTTTTTTTCTCGAATTTATAGCCGGTAAAATTCTGACTTAAAAACTCGTACGGTTTTTTTGTTTTTTCAAATATCGACTGTACAGAAGTAAACTTTTTCCACTTTTACCCCCCCCCCCTCAAAGTACTAACTAGATGAAATTAATGATTTATAATGTTGCTACTTGAAGGAATTGGTTCATTATTAAAAAAGTTACTAAAAATTATATATAGTCCTATGTCAACATTACATTAAATGCTATTTATATTTATAATGCATTAAAAAACTCAAAGAACCTACTGATAACGCGGTCAAATGAATAATATTTTATTTATATATATTTTTTTTTTGTGCATAAGTAACTAATAATAGTAATAATTCAATTGAATATATATATTTAATAAGAAATAAAATTGATAGTAACCTATAACAATAATATGTAAAAGAACCCATTAGTTCACATAGAAGTTGGCCTTCGGGCGAATGGTGGTGCTATTTCTGATTTAATAGCCACGGTATCGACTTCCACGGTTTTTTGATGATGAAAGATAGCGATACTTGAGCGGGTGCCTCCAAATATTTTAAATTAAAAGTCTACAAAAAAAAAAGTTTTTTAATAATGTCTAAAAAACATTCTTAGATCAATTATATTACTTTGTCAGGATATGAAGTGTGAACGCCAGTAACACGTATATACACTACCAGCCTTTGTTCAAATTGCAACAACTGCCACGATTGGCAAGATTTATTGGAATTATTTATAATCAAGAACCAATCTTCATGATTGACTGAAACATGAACAGTGTAACCGTAGGTATACTTATGGTGGTCCCAAAGCAGCATCCTATAAATAATGACAATACTAAAATAATCTTAATCTTATTGCCACAGTTGACCTAAAATTATTTTTAAATATATTTCAGGCACGAAAAATATTATAATTAAAAAATAGAAACCAAAGTAAAAAGTAAATATTCTGTAAACGATTACCTCATTGAACTTAGCAAATACGGTTGGGCGAGTTGAACCTCTATGTACCCCAATTCCAGGTCGTGGTATGTATATCCACGATCCAAAAGTGAATTTTCATAGTCATCGTACAAAATGGCGTTTTGAATCTTATCGGGCGATGTCTCTACTTCTTTGATAGTCCAATGTGGATATCCATTGGTTACAGTGGCATCCATAGATGATGAAGCAACATTGTACTTTGGAGCTAATAGATTAAAATCAGTTAATTAAACAAATAAGTTCTTTTTATCTTATTTAAAGAATCAGTTAATTTCATAGAATCCATACCTAGTAATCCGTTTTTGATTTCAACCAAGTGCATTTTATCCGTATTGTACATGACTTTTAAAATGTTAAAAGTACAAGTCTTATTACGAGAATTTTTGGTGCCAACAATACGGATGTATCTCACATATATTCGGTTAATCCACAAGCGTTGAATTGACCGACAATCGTAATTTGAATGATCAATCACACGAAACCAACTGTACTTAGCTATTGATACTTCAATATAATAGGAGTAAGTGCTGAAATATAAAAGAATTTAAACAAATGAATACCTGTGTAATTTTTTTATCTTTAAAGAAGTCAAAAATCAAATAATAAATTTAAATAATTGTTGTGCAAAATAGATTAAAAAAAATTATTATAAGTCGGTGCATTTACAATTTTTTTTATTCATGAATAAATTTAATTAACAACTATTAAAATAAATCATGAAAAA